CTCCCTCCTCCCATCTCCCTCTCCCTCCTCCCTCCCTCTCCTCTCCTCTCCTCTCCCTCTCCCTCTTCCCATCTCTCTCTCCTCTTCTCCCTCTCCTATTCCTCTCTCCTCTTGCCTCCCTTTCTTCTCCCATCTCTGCAGCAGAGAGGGTGGAGGCTCCCTCCACGGCCCCACAGCAGAGGGCTGATGCCACGGTCTTCCATAGGCCCCCCTTACCCCGCTGAAATCTCCTGCAGGACTCCTCTGTGTCTAGAAGTCAGAGCCAGAACCCTTGGTTGGCACCCCGGCTCCTCTTCATTCCCACTACATTTGAATTTGTATATACTTACATTTCGGTCAACACTCAAAGAAACTGATTCTGGCCATTCACTGGTCAGTCAAATACTGAAGCTGAACCTTCAATACTTTGATTGCATAATGAGAAGACAGGACTCATTGGAAAAGACCCTGATGTTGGGAAAGATTGAAGGCAAAAGGAGAAAGGGACAGCAGAGGATGAGATGGGAGAGTGTCGTGGAAACAACAAATATGAGCTCGGGCAGACTTGGGGAGATAGTGGAGGACAGAAGGGCCTGGCGTGCTGCGGTCCATGGGGTCATGAAATAGGCCACGACTGAACAACAAACCTGCCAGGGTTGTTTGGAGGACCAAATGAGGCAATGAACGTGATGTGCACTGCACACCTTAAAATACTAGTGTTATTTGTTGTTATTAGCTATTACATGCTTGCTGATTGAACTTGGAGAAACCGCTTTCCCTCAGTTTGCTTAGCTACAAAATGGGGGGACAGAATGGGACAACCTCCAAGCTCCATTCAGTTCTAACGTCTAAGGGGAATTCTCACCCCAATCCTAGAAGAGAATTCCAGTCAATTATTTACCATGACGTGAGTATGTATTTTTTCAACATGAGCTCTTAGGGGTGCACGTTATATTTAGAACAATATGGTACCCAGACCTTGGCTCTTCCTTTGCAGGAGACACCATGACACCATAGTGGTACATGAAAGAGCCCATGATCAGAACCAGAATGGCAATGGCATTGGCATGCCAGTATTGGCCATCTCAGCTGTTTGCATGACCTTCCTGGGTTGGACTAGAGGGTCCCCAAAGCCCCTGCCAACTTGGACATGTCATGATTCCTAAGTGAACCTGCGCTGGGAGGCCCCCGTCAGCCCACCACTGCTTTACCAGGTGCAGCTAGCTCAGCCTTCTGGGAGGGGGACTGAATGTTTCCTCCTCCCTCCCCAGGGAGCTGTCCTCTCTCCAGACCTCATCTCCACCCATCTGGCACCAGGGGGCTTTGGGAGCAAGGATGGGGCCAAAAGGAAGGGAGAAAACAGGAGTCCGGGCTCCTGGGGATGGGGAGGAGGCCAGAGGAAGGGAAGGGAGAGTGAGTGGAGTCGGCCACCTCCAAGGACAAGGTCTCATCCCACAACATCTGTTCATTCATCAAATGTTTATTAAGCCCTTAACCTCGTGCAGGGTGGGCCTTGTTGAGTGCTCTGGGGAACTACAAAGTTAGGTAAGACATAGAGACATAGTCCCTGCCCTCAGGGAGCTTACAGTCTATCAGAAGGATAAGAAACCACCAGAGTTAGCTAGAGTACAGAGTATTCCAGAAGTGCATTAGAGAGTTATAAAAACAAAGTGCTCCGTGAGGGGGTTGAGGGTGAAATCAGAACAGTCTTCCTGAAGAGGTGCTGTTGGAATTGGGCTTTGAAGAGCGGGTCCAAAGTCAACAGGCAAAAGGAGAAGGAAGACATTTCCAGCATCAGGAACAGTTGTGAGCAAAGGCACAAGTGTTTAGGAGGCAGTTGCTAGTAAGCTGGGGGGAATGCCAAGGGCAGGATAGCAAGACGCCCCCCTCGAAAGAGGGATGGAGGAGAGGCCAGCTCAGTTCTTTCCTCCTCCTCCGCTGAGACTGACCGCCGCGACGACCTCTCGCCCCCTTTGCCTCTAACCTCACTATCTATAGTCGATCGCCTGGCCCCCAGCCGCCGTGGCCGCGGGACATCCCTTGTGGGGTTAGTGGTCTCGTGTGTATGTGTGTAACGATGCACCCTTGAGTGTGTGTGAGAGCCCAGCTAGAACGTGAGCTCCATGAAGCCAGATCCCCGGGCCCCACCCCAACCCCTACAGCGTCACACGATGTGTGTGGCGTGCCAGCCCTACCCAGCTCAACGGTAAACTCGAGGGCACGAGCCACGGGTTAGGAAGATCCCGTGACGGGTCCCCCCATGGTGCCTAGCACAGTGGTACAAAAAGACGAGCTTGTTTGTTGAACGAAGGCAGGTGGGGAAGGGTGGAGATTGGGATGTTTCTGCCGAGAAGTGAAGGAGGGGAATGGAAGCCATGACATTGCAGATAGATCCATCAACTCACCAGCCCTCACTCTCCCACCCTGAGAACCACTGAGAACCCCCGATCATCTGACTCCTTTGCAAGGAGCCTCAGCTGGGAAGATGCCGGAGAGAAATGGTGGCCCTGCCTGGACAAAGAGCCGGGCGGTCTACGAGGACGGACACTCCGAGGTCATCCACAGAGGGCCTGGGACCAGGATAAGGGTGGGGGCACCCTCTCCTGCATCCTAAGTGGTGCAGAGAGAAATCGCTATCGATTTTCACTTGTGTGGGTTGACCTAACAAGGCTCATTTGTCACACCCTGTCTACCCCTCCAGTTAATATGCTCATCCCCAATGTGGGAAAAGAAATCGTCTTGTCTAGGGGGTGATTTGTCAGCGCCAGGCCAGCCCGGGCAGGGGGGTTCCTGGCACGGCAGCACTAATGGAGTTCACTCAGTGGCTGGAGCTGAAATCAGCTCCCAGAAAACCCTTGGCCTCTCGGGGGCCCTTGGCTACAAGCACTGATTGTATTATTTACTACCGGCTGAGGCCAGGGCAGGGGAAGACAGGAATCAGCTGTGATTTGTGCCCTAGGCCCTGCCGGCAGCCAGTGTGAACAAGCTGGCTAGGGGAGTGGCAGCCCAGCAAACCTGTCTGCTGCTCCCCCCGGGAGCTTCTACACTCTCTGACTCCCTCCCATCTTATTTCTGAGGGGTGTGGAATGACAAGAATCCTGGTCTGAGAACCGAGAGGCCGGGGTTCTCCAGCCGCGAGACTAACTCAATGGCCAAGTCCCTTCCCTCTGTGGACCTCAGTCTCCCCCTCTGTAAAATGGCAATAAGATCCCGGGATGACTGTGAGCTTCAACTATGACAGATGGGAAAGACCAGAGGGATGGGGGGGAGTGCTTCTGCCGCGCAGCCCGGGAGCTGGAGCGCGGGATGGAAGGGGGCCGCTGGCCCTTGATGGACAACGCCCAATGGCTTCAGACAGTTTATTTGTGGGTCTTATGTACAGAATTCCTGCCACGCCCTGCCTGAGGAGGAAGGCCTGTCGGGGGTCCAGGCGACATGTGCTCGAGTTCGGCAGCCCTGGAGTCGGCTCACTGGTGGATAAGGCACTCGGTGGTCAGAGGGAAGGATCCTGGTGTCGGCTGCCAGCCCAGGCTCGCAGAGGGGAAGACAAGGAGCTCTCCGGCCTCGGCGGGAGGCCTGGAGGCACAGTCAGAATCACACATGGCCTTGGGTCCAATGCTTTGGCTAGACGGGAGGGGGCACAGTCTGGCAGCGGCCTCGCTTGGCTGCCCCTCCGAGGGGGGGAGGGGGAGGAGTGCACTCAGGATGGGATCATGCCCTTGGTCCTCTTCCTGTCCGCCATGAGCCGCCGGTTGTGATTGGCCCTCGCCCCCTTGTTGGCTTCCTTTCTCCGGCGCTCCTGGGTGGTCTCCCGGCTCTGCCCGTGGCCCCGCGGGCTGCCGGTGACTGCCGAGGAGCCATCGTGCCTGTACCTGGGCAAGGAAAGCGCCATCAGCCGCCTGTGCCCCCCCCCCGACCAGGGCTGTGTATTTGGGGGTGTATATCGGGGGAGGGGGTGCTGCTCAGGCCTCTCTCATGGGGGCCAAAAGGTGAGGATGACCTCTAGGCCTCCACCTCGACCCAATTTCTCTGATTTGCAAAATGGGAAGAAGCCGGGCTTTCAGAACCAAGGAAGGGCTAGGCCACTCTGGGAGAAAAGGGCACCAGGCTGGGCAGCCCCACTGGGGTGCAGGCCGGGAAAGACCAGGGAGGCGCGGCCCAAGGACCAGGCCACCTTCAGGGTCCTCCTTGAACGTGCCACAGGGAGGCGGCTGAGTCTCTGATTCAGGAGCTCCCTCCCCCTCCCCGGCCGGCCTCGCTCACCCTCTTCGGGCCAGGTAGGCCATCCGCTGGGCTTCTGCTCGCTCCCTCAGCACAGCTGGGTCCTGGACAAAATGGTCTGGCTATGGACAGTAGAGGAGACATGGTTTCAAGCCATGAGCCAGGATTCCTTCCCTGCATGGGGTCGTTAGCAACGCATCCTCCAGGATGCCCAGGGCCATGGTGGAGGAGGACGGAGCATCCGTGTGGCGGTCAATGTGAATCAGAGGTTAACTGACTCACTCAGGGTCACCCTGCTAGTAAGGGCTTAAGGTAGGATTAGAACTCGGGTCAGTCCCAAGTAGATGGCCCTTGAGCAGGGCCTGAGAAGCCCTGCAGTTTGTGCAGAGGAATTCCCATTGGGTCGCTCAGAGATCAGCTGTGCTCCTGGGCTCCGGGAGCCAGGTAGTGTGGTAAAGTGCCACGGAGTCAGTGTAGCTCACCTGGAAGAGATTTCCTTCCCTGCCCTCCCCCCATAAAGGACTTCCCCATCCTTCAATGCTCCACTCAGGCCACCTCCCCCATAAAGCCTTCACTAACAACACCCCGAGGGAAAAATGCTAATCCCTCCTGAGCCTTCTTCTAGGTCTCCGCCCAAGCTTCTTCCAGGCGCTGATTTCTCTTTTCCTCAAGCACAAGATTTGGGGCTGTGAGGGCCCCCCCCAGATCCCACTTAGCCCATCACCCCCAGGCGAGGGCAGCTTCCTGGCCCTTTCTAGCTCTGACGTGGAGCGCTGGGCTGTGCACAGAGGATGCTCATTAACGTGGTTACTACTGCTATTTACACCAGCTAACATTTATCAAGAGCTTTCAGGCTGGCCTGGAACCTTACATTCACCATCTCCCTTGATCACATGTGAGCCCCACGGCCACCTGTTGGGGCAGAGGAGGAAACTGAGGCAAACGAGGTTAAGTGACTTAAACAGGACAGATGGCTAGCAGGTGGCCAAGGCAGGATTTGAGCTTGGTTCGTCCCATCCAAATGAGATCAGACTGATACAAGTGCTCAGCATGGTGCTCGCTGCACAGCAGGCACTCTACAAACGCTCATTCCCGTTCCACCTTCCCCTCACCATCTCTGCCAGGGCAGCTTGGCTAGAGGAGGGTCCGGGCTCTGGTCCCATGGCGGCACCCTGGACAACTCCCTCACTGACCCTGTGATGAAGGACCTTTACAATCCTTCCCCTCTACAACAGGCTGTGCTCACAGCCCCCGTGGAGCCCAAGGTGCCAAGGTCAGGTGCAGACATACAGCTGCCCCTGGCGTGGGGTCACCAGAGGAGCTGGACATCAGGGGTCACTTAGGGATGGCCCCTGGGGAGGTGGGGAGAGGAGCCCAAGGCAGCTCTTGCTGTCACACAGACCCTGGGCCCAGTGGGGCCTCCCTCGCCCTCCTTCTCCTGCATGGGTCTGATGAGATGCAATGACGGGTCCGGCAGCCCCCAGCCCAATCATCACCCTTGGGGTCGGCCCATGAAGGCTCAAAGAGGGAGGACAAGGTACCTTAGGGCCTTCTTCTTCAGCCTCTTCCTCTTCCTCATCGTCATCGTCCGGCCCCTCATGAGGCACTTTGGTTCTCAGCACCTGGGGGGTGGTGAACGGCCTGAGGGGTTTGAGACAGAAAGAAACATCAGTAAATCTTCCCCCTACAGAACCCCGAGATCCTTCCCTCCAAATCACAGCTCGGGGGCTGCCGCCCCCTACAGATGAGGTCTTTCCCTTCCCCCAGCTGTGAACACCCTTTCCTCAATTCTTTAACCATCCGCCTATCCTGTCTGTCCATCCTTCTCTGGTGCCCTCCCTGCCCCCCAGGAGACTGTAAGCCCCCTGAGGCAGGGAAGGCAGGGAACACAGCAGATATTTAATAAATAGTTACAGAACAGAACCAAACCAGAGGCAAGCCTGTTGGAATGGACTTTGTCCTTGTGGTACCTGGTGCACAGTAGGTGCTTAAATGCTTGTGAAGGAATGAATGTTAAACAGGCCTGGAGAACAGAAGATATTATCGTGGAAAGGGAATAAATGTGGGGAACTTGGGGAGGGGGAAGGGGCTGGAGAACACAAAGGGGATGTGGGAGGCTTTCTGACAGGACAGGCTGGGGCCCCTCCCTCCTTCTGATGAGGCATCCACCTGTGAGGCAGGCCCTGCCCCTGCTTCTGCTCCTGGCCCCAGATGAGAGCATCCAGGGGCAAGGGAAAGGACTCTCATTCTTAAATGTGTTTCTTGTAAACAATACATCTTTGGATCAGGATCCTATTAGCTTCAGTTTTATGGGTGAATTCATCCCATTCACATTCAAAGTTAGAATGACTATCTGTGAATTTTTATCTTTTGTTAGAATGCAAGCCCCCTGAGGGCAGGGCAAGGGCCTCTATCTCGGTGCCCTAGCCCAGCGCTGGGCCAGAGCTGGTGGTGAATAAGGGCTGATGAGGAATGAAGGAGCTATCCTAGCCTAGCACCCTATCCATCAGCAGCATCCTCTCCTCCTGACCGGGGACAAATCCCCTTCAGAGGCTGGATTCTGAGTCCAGAATCCCAGCCCTGATACTGACCACCTAAGGGACCTGGGGCAAGGTGTTTGGCTTCCCTGGGCCCCGGGGATGGCGCCTGGGGTCCCCCAGTTCTAGAGCCCCGCTCCTGCTGAGGTTCCAGACTTTTGTCCAGAGCGCTGCAGAACGGTCAGCAAACCAAAGCGCCGCCCACCTCCTCGTGATGAGCTCGTCATCCGAGTCTGCGTCGTTGGCGCCCACTTGGTTGCCGTCATATGTATCATCGTACTCGTCCTCGTAGTCGTCCCTGACGAGCTGGCCCTCTGCGGCCCCGGCCTGGACGATGACCTCATCCACCACCACGCTGTACTGGCTGTAGCGCTCCCGCTGCTCCTGGATCACGCGCTTGTCATTCAGCAGGGTCCGCGTGTTCTCCCCCTTCCTATAGAGAGAGGGTAGGAGAGGCGGGAGAGGGAAGTGGTGGAGGGCTGGCTCTGACCCTGGCCATGCAGGCAAACAGACTCTAGCGCTCTCAGAGAGCCCAGGAAAACCATAAGATTCCAGGCCAGATAATACTGCCTGGCCACGAAGGTGAGCCTGGCAGGTGGTGAGCCTGGCAGGTGGTGAGCCTGCAGGCAGGCCCCTGGAGAGGCTCCCAGGCAACGGGGAGCCTGTCCACACTCAGGACAGGGCGCCTCTTGGACCCTGACAGCAGCCTCGCCTCCATGCCCAGGATGGATCCTTGTGGAGAAGGGGGACAAGGGTCAGGATCGGCCTTCTTCTGCCTCTGCCCCTCACTGCCCCAGGACCACAGGCAAGTCAGGCATTTCTGAGGTGCCAGCCCCTCCGGAGTTAGGACCCTGTGACCTCGAGTGAATGCCCCAAACCTCGGGGCACCAGTTCCCTTACCTATAAATGGCAGGGGGCGGGGTAATGCTGAACCAGATGACCTGGAGGTTCACTTCTATGCTCCTGACTAAAGGTCATTCAGCCAGTGTTTGCATACTGTCAGTGGCAGGAAACTCACTCTTTCCCTGAGGCATCCTGTTTCACTCACTACCCGAGGGTTACAAAGTACTTTTGTTATCCTCGGGTGAGATGAGCCTCTCAAAGGCCCATGGGCCCCATGCTGGGCCATGTCAGCCCCTTGGCAGAGACTCTCACTGAGGAGGCCTGGCCACCCTCACCTGCTCCTGCAGCCAGGCCCTCGGTGCCAGCCATCTCCTCCACAGGGCCAGGCCACCCAGCGGGTGGTTTACTCTCTCTCGTCCTCTGTCTGACTCCATCTCTCTCTGATTACCTCTCTCTGTCTCCTATTATGTGTCTGAATCTGTCTCGACTGTTTCTGTTTCTGAATCTGTCTCTAACTACATCTGTTTCTCTGTGTGACTGTCTCTATTTTTGTCTCTGTCTCTAACTATGTCTGTCTGAATCCATCTCTTTCTCACTATATCTCTAACTCTGTTTCTGTCTGTCTCTATGTCCGTCCGTCTCTCCCGATGACTCTGAATTCCCTCCTCAGAGGGCACGCCGTAACCCTCTGCTGGATGTAAGCCCCTGCAGGGCAGTGCCCGGTCACCCTGGCTGGGTCACTAAAGCTCTTGGTGGTCCTGACAACTCTAAGTGCATCAGCTGCAGAGATGGGGCTGACCTGCCTCGGTGGATGGAGTTTCCTCAGGTGGGAGGGCCCCATTCACTCCTTCCTGTCCTGATGGGGCTACTGGTGTGGGAACAAGGAAAAGGCAGTGCCAGGACGGAGAGAGCACCGGGGCTAGCGACCTCAGCCAATGACCTTATCTCGCGGGATGCTCTTGACAACCCTTGAAATGTGCTGTTAGGATCCTCATTTCTAAAAAATGAGGAAACTGAGGCTCGCAGAGGTCAGGTGACTTGTACACAGCAAGTAATTATCTGAGGCAAGATTCAAACTCAGGCCTTCCTGATTCCACCACTCTAGAGTCAGAAAGCTGGCCTCAGGCCCCAGAAGCCCTGGGTTCAAGTTGCATCGGGGACACAAGGGACCTGGCAAGTCCCTTCAGCTCTCAGCTCCCCAGGTGGTAAGACTTTACCCAGAAGGCACTGCCCTGAATCACAGAAGGAGTTTTCCTCAATGGGATTTCCTCATACCAACAAAATCCCAGGCCCAGTAAAGAAAAAGGTGCCGTGGCAGATTCGGTGTGGAATCTGTGAGACCTGGCTGTGAATGCTGCCTCTGAGATGGCACGGTATGAGCTGAGGCACTCAGCCTCAGTTTATGGCCTCATCTATAAAATGGGTATAACGCTGGCACTACCGAGCTCCCTGGGTGGCTGCGAGGATCACACGAGACATCATGTGTTAAGTGTTTTTAAACCTTTAAAGTGCAAAGGCCAGTTTACACATAAATATGTAATATAAAGACATTTATACCAACATAAATGGTGTCGATGTTATTGTAAGTTATCATAAGCTGGAGAGGGTCCCCGGGGCATGACCAGGACCACACATCAATCACCTGATAGCGGCAGCTCATGCTGTGGTCTGTCTCTCTCTCTTCTCGTCTCTCCCCATCTCCCTCTGTCTCTCTCTCCCTCTCTGTCTCTGCCCCCTCCACCCCCCCAAAGTGTTTTACCAACATTAGCTTCATTTGTTTCTGCACAGCCTTATGAGAGGCGCTATGGTTATCCCCACTTTACAGCTGAGAAAACTGAGGCTCAGAGGGGCTGAGTGGCTTGCCCAGAGTCGCACCAAGGAGCTGAAATGAGATTTGAACCCAGGTCTTCCAGAGTCCAAGCCCAGCACTCTGCACTAGGCCACACAGTCTCCTAACAAAGGGCCCTGGGACCCTATCATCTGCAGATCAGTTAAAGGCCTGGCCTGGAGAAGAGTCTGGGGAGGGAAGGGGGGAGGCCTTGACCACTGACATCAAGGATGTGAAGGGCCGTCTGTCCTGGGGCAGTGGGCAGGGGGAGGTACAAGCAGCAGATTCTGACTTGCTGTCAGAAAAACCTTGTCCCAAGGTGACCCGGGCAGCCTGGGGGCCCTTGGTCAGGGATGCTGCAGTCTGGATGGACCTGGTGCCCCCTGAGGCCTCGCGCACCTCTGTAGGGCTGTGACACCTAGCAATGCCCACAGTGGCATGCCTTTCTCCAGAACCACATGCTGGGAGGGCGCCCGCGGGCAGCAGGCACCCCACTGTGACCTCATAAACAGAGCACCGGGTCAGCCATGCACAGGGAAGCCTCCCCTGAGCCCCACGCTGGTATTCCTACAAGGACGGCCTTGGTAACATCTGGTCCTCGAACAACCACAGGACAAGACGTTTCTCAGCATTTTCCCCTCCGATCCAACCCATCACAGGGTTCAAGGTCCACAGCCAGGACCACAGAGGCTCCCTAGTCTAACCTGTCCCTTTACAGATGAGGAAACTGAGGCCAGAGACTTGCCCAGGGTCACAAAGGAAGTCAGCAGCAGAGGCAAAATTGGAGCCCAGGTCCCAAGACTCCAAAGGCAGAGCTCCGTCCACTGGACCACACGGAGTTGGGAACAACTAACGCGAATTCAGTCCCTCCCATGAGGGAAGAGAGGCCCAGTGCTTAGTGCCTTGCATATAGGAGGCAATTAATAAATGTTTATAGACCGTTATTGAGAAAGAAGAGGTTTGCCCAAGGTCCCCGGCATTATCAGTGGCACGGCCTCCCTCCCAGCGCCATCCTCACCCTCACCCAGCCCTATCCCCATCCCAAGCACACCATGCGGCTGACACACTCCCATGGGATTTTCCTGGAGCCCTCCTCTGACAATGAATCGGAAGCAACTGGTCTTTGCTGAGTGGCTGGGCCCTGTCAGGCTGGCCCAAGCAGGGATCAGTTGGGCAGGCAAGGGGGTGAGGGTGGGACCTCATGACCTCAGAGGTCCCGACTGACCCCAGGCTCCTTTCTAGTGCACGTTTCATCCGCTTATCTGGGCTCCTCAACTTGACTGGAAGCTCTTGGTGGGCCCAGCACAGTGTCTTGTCAATAAGCATCTGTTTATTAAGGGCTTGCTATGTGCTGGGCGCTGGGTTGAGCTCAGGGCAGACAAAGAAAGATCATGCTCAGAGTAGGAGCCCAACAAATACCCACTGGGCATTGGATTGATTGGCGGCTGTCTCCACTATGGCCTGAGAATGGGATTGACTTGGGGGTGTATGGGAGGTCAGGGCCCTCCCTGAAGACAGCCGGTTCGGGCAAACTTGGTGGCTCTTGGCGGCAGCTTGTGGGCTGCCCTTGACAGATGGAATAAAAGGCGTGTTGAGTGACTGCATGGGCCCTGGGTCAATGTCAGAGCCAGCTCGCAGCACAGGATCCGGGGCAAACCTCAGCCTTCAGGTGAGGAGCCGGCCAAGCCCCTGGGCCCACATGGCCCAGGCGAGGGAGCCACAACCATTGGTGGCCATCATGCCTCTTCCCCCACAGCACCTCTGGGCCCTGCCTCTTCCTCCCCCTGGTGTGGCCGCCAGCCCAGGATAAAGATCTCGGGTTTGGTATTTAGGAGTGTTGCAACGGGGGTGACTAAGCAGTTTGTAATAGCTGCTTTGTGCCTGGCCAGCTGGCCGGCTCTGCCAGGGCTGGGGCAGAGGTGCCTGAGAAGAGATCTGGGCCTTGAGCAAGTCCTTAAAGGGGCATGTCGGTATCCCAGGGAGGGCCAGGACAATTGGGCTAGCCTTGAAGCCAGACCTCTCCCGGGCCTAACAACAACAACCACTTACAATCTGTCAGTCAGTCAATAAACACTGGTTAAACACCTACTATGTGCCAGGCACTGCAACACAATGAGGATTATAAAGCATCTCACAAGGCCCTCTAATGAATGAGCAAACAGGTGGCAGGTCCCAGCATACAAGGGCTGCCCTGGCACATGGTGAGCTCCCTGTCCTCGGAGGTGTCCAAACAGAGGCTGGCTGGCGACCTACCGGGGATGCTGGGCCTCCAAGGTCATGAACCCAGAGCTAGAAGGGACCTTGGAGATCAGCTAAGCCTCATTTTAGGGACAAGGAAACTGAGGCCCAGGAGGGCAAGGGGCTTCCCAAAGGTCACGTGGCAGGAATAAGAAGGCAAACCAAAAGGCTTGAGGCAGGGGGTCCGGGGCTATCTGCGCAGGGACCCTCCCTCTGCTGACCACACGCTCGGCCGCCGGAGGCTTCCCATCTCTCGGTCGCGGCCACACTCACCTCCTGCCTTTCTGCACACGCGACAAGTCCACAGTGTCTCTGCTGAACACGTCAAACTCATCATTCTGGAAAACGTTATGGCGAGAAGTGACCAGCGGGGTCGGGCCTGGCTGCATCTGCCTGGGGAAGAGAGAGACAGCCCACGCAGAGCCTTAGGAGATGGCCCTGGTGCCTGCCCCAAGGCCTGGCAGCCCAGGGTCCTGAGCCCAGACCATGGTGACGCAGGAGGTTACACAGCCCAGGCCGAGAGGGGCAGGAGGCAGATGTCAGGACAGATTCCTGGGGGTGGGGAAGAAGGGAGAACATGGGGGGAAACAGGGCTCTGTGCTCACAAGTCGTCAAAAGAGAAATCTGCCCCAGCCTCCATTTTTCTGCCACCATCCCCTGCACGACAGGCTACCCCTGAAATAGCAACCTGCCCTCTTGCCTGGCTACCCGAATAGCTGGGCCAGAAAAGACTTCAAACAGGGCCTGGCAGTGGCCCCAGGTCAGTCTGGCTGGGCCAAGGTCAGGCTCATCACCAGAGACCTAGCCACCAGCTGGTGAAATTTTTTGGCCATGTTAATTCCTGAAAACAATTTACTAAGGCAGGGAAGGGCTATGATCAGCGGGCAGACACCCCACACCGGTGAAATTACGGATTCTTCAAATATTTCCAGGGAGTCATAAAATCCCAGGGATGAGAGATGAAGGAACGTCCGGGTCCTGGTCTGCCACAAACCTTGGTAACCTTGGGCATTCCAGCCCAATTCAGCAAAGGGTGCGTTCTGAGTCACACCACGGGCAGAGGCAGAGCCAAACGAGTGGATACCTATGTTTGCTAACACGTTTTCCTTCCATAACAATCCCTTCTGACTTAGATCCTTTAAGGAGGGGCCTCTGTGTGCGTGAGGCAGACACAGCTGGCGACAGAAAGACAGTAGTACTTGGGTTTAATCAGATATCCGATCCTATCGAGCCACAGATTCAGAGCTGGGGAGAACCGGAGGGAAGTCCTCCATTGTACGAATGAGGAAACAGAGGCCCACAGGTGTGAGGCAGTTTGCTTAAGGTCACAAAGGCAGTAAATGGCAGACTGTAACCCCAGGATCCGACCCTGCGCTACTGTCCATGGTTCGGGGTTTCTGCACTTCGGATCCAGGGGAAGGTAAATGCATGCCTCCACTTCCTTACTAGCCTTCCCCCATGGGGCTGGGAAGGCACTGACCGATCCCCGCTCCGTCAGATCGCCGCTAGCTCAGGAGAGGTGGAAGGGAAACTGAGCTCAAGAATGAGGTGGGTGAGTGGTGGGGAGACGCGCCCTTTTGGCCTCACGGCCACGGAGGCAGCAATGGGCTTCTCTCATAATTGCCCTTCAAGGCAGGGATGGCCAGCGTCACCACCGTGCCCATTTTAGAGATGGAGAAGCTGAGGCCCAGGCCTCCCTGAGCTCAGACCAGGAATTCCCCACCCCTGCGGTCTGGCAGAATCACTTTCCTTCAACACTGCTTCTGGCCTCGGACCTTTTCCCTCAGGGTCCCCCTCATCAGGGTAAATCCTTTCTGTTCTCCTATCCGGGTGTTAACTTCCTCAGCTTTGGGGACCCCGGGCTCCCCCACAGGCTCTGCTGCCCGAGCTTGGCCAAGCTAGCCCCCTTCTCTGGGCTTCCATTCTGCACCCCCAAGATGGGGGCTGGGCTGGCTCCCCGTCGCAGCCCAAAGGTGGCACAGCCTGACGGGGTTCCCACAGGCCCCCGCCCGCCCCCTTCCCCAGCACGCACCTGTTCAGGGTGCGATCCAGGGAGCTCAGGGCCGGGGCCAGCCTCTCCTCCAAGATATTGTTGATCACCTGCTCGGCGCTGTAGCCATAGCGCTCCAGGCAGGCCAAGATGAAGCCCTCCCCCAGACCCGGCAGCAGGTCCTTCACCTGGGAGATCAGGGAGTCGAGCTGGACCCCGGAGATGCGGGGGGTGGGCGCGGCGGCTGCTGCCCCGGCGCACTGCAGGATAATCAAAGGGATGAGTCACCAGCTGGGGCAACGAGAAGATCCGAGGACGAATCCTGCCCAGCCACTACGAGCTGGGTGGCCCTGGGCCACGTCCATCTACTTTCCTGGGCCCCGGCTCTTCAACTGTAAAATGAGGACTCCTCGCTGGCGGCCTCCCAGATTGGAATCTCTAATCCTAACCCTCTGATGGGGAGAAGTCACAAGAGGGAACAGAGCAGGGCCTCTGGGCTATGCCCAAACCTGGGGACCTTGCGGCTGACTACCTCCAGTGCTCCCTCTGTCCCTGGCTCGGGGCTCCTGGATGCCCAACACAGAGCTGGGCAACTGTGCGGAGGTTGGAGATTTGAGAAGGCATGTGATCCCTCCCCCGTACCTGGCTCCCCCTCTGTAATTAGGAGGATTCGCCCTGATGAGCCTTAGGTTTGTAATCTGACAATCCTGGGTGACCTCGGGGCCCTGGCTTCCCCTGAGCCTCAGTTTCTTCATCTCTAAAATGGACTAGCTGGCCTCTACATTCTCTCTGACCTCGTTCTACAACCTCCCAATTTCTTTGGGCCCCTGTAGAAGAAGGGGGTTACCTAAAGATCCTGCAAAGGGAGAGGAGCAGGGACCCCAGGACGGCCCTTCCCAGCCCCACACCCACCTCCTCCTCCTCCTCCTCCTCCTTCAGTCGCGCAGGCCCCAGCTGTGGGGCCAGAGGCCGCTCGGGAGCCTTGGATGGTGGCGACTCCTTGACGGGGGAAGCCCTCCTCCGGTCCACACCTTCCCAAGCGCTCTCCACGGCCTGGAGGATGTAGGCGGTCCGGGTCTCATCCCTGGGGGCACCTGTTAAGGGCATCGCTCACGTTTCCTCTGGCCTCGGTGCCCGAGGGCTTGTGCCCCCTCCTCTGGGTACACTGTCTTCCTCCCGAGGCAGCCAAGTGGCTCAGGGGATAGAGCAGTGGACTGGGAGTAAGGAAGACCCGAGTTCAAATTCTGCCTCAGACACTTAACACTTGTGTGACCTGGACAAATCGCTTAACCTGTTTGCCTCACTTTCCTCATCTGCAAAATGGGGGTAACATCCTTTCCCTCATAAGGTTGTTATGGGACTCAAATGAGAACGCCTATTTTGAGTACTCTGCAGTCTTGAAAGCGCTATATAAATGGCGCCTTTTTTTCCATGAGGCAATGGGGTTAAGTGACGTGCTCAAGGTCACACAGCTAGTGTCAAGTGTCTGAGACCGAAGTTGAACTCGGGTCCTCCTGACTCTAGGGCTGGCGTTCTATCCACTGTGTCCCCCAGCTGCCCTGATGCTGCCCATTATTATCATCCAGTTGCCAAGGAGTTATAACATTCCAAGGAAATGGGCAGAAATCTGGCCCACACTGGAAACGTCCAGTGGTCCAGCAGGGGCCAGCGGAGGAACAGCTGTCAGGCATTAGCAGGGAGCCAGCCAGCAGTGGGGAGCCAAGACAATCCCCCCATCACGGCTGTGTCAGGGGGACCATGGTGGAGCAGAGGCAAGACGTCCGCTCTTCCCCCTCCACCCTGCTGCCGGGGAGGGGCCACGCTGCGGATGCTGCAGACTGAGGCCAGCGCCTTCCTTCTCTGACCAAATAACTCACTGGGCCTCAGACACAGGACTGACTGCTAGACAGGGCGTCTCCCAGGCTGGAGGCTGTGGGTCTGTGCTGTCTGCTCTAACCCACAAGGCAGGTCGCTGGCCACGCACCGCCCCCAGGTGCACAGCCCAGCCCTCTGCAAGCTCTCCAGGGACGGCCCTCCCGGCGGCTGGTAAAGGATACAAGGCTGAGGACGCCTGCTGCAGCAAACTCACGTCATCTGCCACAGGGAAGAGCTCGTCGTAATCTCGGAGAAACCTGCCAAATCCAAAGTCCAGGTAAGCAGGGAGGCGGGAATCTGGTTGCCAGCACACAAACTGGGGGCTCCTGGAGACCCTGAGACGTCTCCCTCCCAATGCTCAGCGAGGACTGCCTCCTAATCGTGGATGAGTCACCCCAGGAACCAGAAGAGATCAGAGGTCAACCAGTCCAGCCCCCTGCCCAGACCACCATTAATGATAACAAGAGCTAGCATTGCTAGAACACCTTCAAGTTTGCAAAGCACTTAGTAAATATCTCATTTGATCCGACAACCCAGGAGGGAGGCGTTATTTTACCCATTTTACTGATGAGGAAACTGAGGCAGACAGAGGGAAGCGACTCGCCAGGCTTATCCAGCTACAAAGTGTCCGAGGTTGGATTGGCACTCAGGCCTGGAGCTGGCACGCCCTCCACTGGCCGCCCGTGCCTGGTGGGAGGCCTGGCCTGGGCCCAGCCCACCGCACTCACCTCTTCTCCTGCAGCACCGAGCTGAAGAGCTGAAGAAAGTCCTCAATAAAGGCCTGGATGTTGTCGCAGCTGCACAGGGAGAGGAAGATGCGGCTGAGGCCGGCCCGCTGTCGCCACGCAGGGCCCTGCCCTTGCCACCTCCCACTCTCACCCTTGGGCTTCACCCGCTAAAACAAGGACAGGCCAGGGAAAAATGCCACTGGCCTGGGCTCCTGCTCACTGTCCTGGGGGAGGATGGGAAAGGGACAGAGATGACTGAAGAGCAGCAGAAACGCCGGTGAGAGGTCTGGGCTCACGGGCCACTCCTGGCCCCGTGCCTCAGGCCGCTGGCCACGGGTGGGACACGGTCCTTCTTTCCTCCAGGTCCCCCCCAGCCTGGCCCAGCTCTCCCCTCCCACCATCCCGTGCTTGGGGAGCCCAGACGGGCACCTCTGCCCCCCTGGCCTGGAAGCTTCTCGAGGGCCTCATCTCAGTGAGTGTGTGCCGAGCCCCAGCATGGAGGCATGGATGGATAAGGCGGTACCTGCTTTCCAAGATGGGCAGGAGGCAGATCTGGTTAATGAGGATATGAAAAACTTCCACCAACTTCTTTCGGGAATGGGAAAGCCTCTGCCACAGGTCAGCGAGCAGCCTGAGAAAAGGAACAAGGAAGAATACAGAAGTGTGGGAAGATGCTGAGCCAGGCGAGCAGAAGGAGGAGGACGGGGACATGGCGACGATGAGCACAGCGGACGTGGGAAGAATGAAAAGAAAACAGCTGAAAGGAAGCGGCCAAACGCAGCAGCCACGCTGGCCCCACAGGGGACAGGCAAGAAGTCAGCGCCTTCCTGGCAGAGGCGGAGGCCTAGGGGTGAGGAGCACCGTGCACGTCAGGCTTTTGTGACGCGGTGGACACTGCTTTCTCTTTTTAGTCTCTGTTATAAGGGACGACTCTCTGTATGGGGAAACAGAACCGATGAGAAACAAAAGACAGCAATGTTATTTAAATACGAGAAAAAGAAAAGACACCGGGACGAAGGAAGGAGATGGCTGTGCCCAGCGAGCGCTCTGGCCGCCCGCTGGCCTGGCGCCTGCCCCTCTGAGCCAGGGCGGGAGAGGAGAGCCTTGCCAGCAGCTAGGAACATCTGGGCCTCACACCAAACAGCTGCCCAGCTTCCGGGAGCTTCCAAAGGGCTCGTCCTGTCTAGACAGCTCTCCCGAGCGCCGTCCTCTCCCTGGGCTGAGAATCGTGCCCCGCCGCACAGAGCAAGAGCCGGAGGCCCAGGGAGGGAAAGGGACTTGCGAGGGGTGTTCAAGCCCAACCCCAGGGGATACCTGAAGAGGAGAGTGAAGAGGAAGGAGGCCAGAGCCTGACTCCACCCTGAGACGTGTCCAGAGGCTCTGAGACGCGCCGTGGACAGAGCAGGGCATTTGGGGGAGGCCTGGCTGTGACTCCCTGCTCAGCCACTTACTGGCTGTGAGACCTTGGACCAGTCACTTCTCCTTCGTGAAGAGGGAAGAGAAAGAAGGGGAGCACGGGGAAGCTGAGGGAACAGAGGTGCCTCTCGGGGAGAGATGATCCACCGCTCCTAGCAGACCTCGGGAGCCAGGCCTGGCTTCCAGGCCCACCGCCAGGAGAAGGCCGAGTCAGCCCCACACCTGCCCCGCTGGGCCCCCCTGCCTCCTTCATCTCTGACATGAAGGCGCTGGCAGACGAGCTCCGGGCTCTACGGGTGCCTACTGGGATCTGGAATCAGAAAGAGGACCCGAGCTCAAATTCCAGCCGGGGATGACTCTTATTGACTGGCCTCATTTGGCCTCTGAGGTTCCTTCTGGTTCCAGATCCAGTCTGGCGACCCATCAAAGGGGGCGCACAGCCTCGCCCTTGCTGAGCTCAGGCGGCTCACGTGAGACGTGGGGGGAGGAGCGCCTGGTTATCCTACCAGCATGGCTGCCATCCTTACTTGCTATCCTCCTGCCTCCTCTTCTTGATGGCGGAGTCCAGCTCGGGAATTGACGCCTCATAGAAGGAAGCCAGTCTGTGGAGGGCACAGGTAGGGCGAGTGTGGGCACCTGGTCACCCAGCCGGTGACCCGCACGCAGCCCCAGCATCCAGCAGGAGCCCCAAAGGCAGGGGGAGACCGCAGCTGCCACCGGTCCCTCCTCCAGAGACAAGGGGAAAGGCTTGCCAACCAGCCGCCCCAGCCCGCTCCTCTCCAGGCCCCTCTTCCCTCCCCTGCAGCTTGGTCACAGAATCACACAGCTGATGATTCTGCCCCTGGTGCAGACGGGGTTGTGCTTTTCACTCCAATTCTTCCACAATGGGAACAACTTAGGAAACATAGGTGGAGGATGGTGCAACTTGAGAGGAATGGATCAGTCATCCCTCTCCTGCTCAAGAAACTACAATAGCTACCTACTACTTTCTACCTCCAGGTTGAACTCCTCTGCCTGGGGTTGCTCACCGACTGCCTACTTTAGTGAGATCAACGCCTCATCCCAGCCCAGCCAGGGGGACCTAAAAGGCCCCTCCCAGCTCTAAATCCAGGGCCCAAAGGGTGGCAAGGTCAGAGTCTCTGCCTATGACCCAGGTGCTCTCTGTTCTAATCGGTGGCCCCGCCTGGCTGTGATGGAGCCCATGGCCCAGGCACAGGGGAAGACGCTTTCTTTCTGCTATACCGAGGCTTAGTCTCAAGAGCGAAGGAATGTCCCGAAGGGGAGCCGAGAGAAGCCACAGTGGCCCCAGAAGAGGACCAGGGCAGTGACAGCCCCATGCATGGCCCCCAGGGTGGCCCTTGAGCCTGGGTGACCACAAGAGAAGGTCATGAGGCTCCAACAGGGGCAGAGTAAGGCAGAGGGCCCTCTTCTGAAGGGGCCGGGGCAGAGGGGCAGCCGAGAGCCCTGAGGCCGTACCTGGAACAGAAGTCGTGCTTTTGGAAGGTCTGGCAAGCCAACGGGAAGACATCCAGAAAGGCCCAGAGGGTGGTGGCGGTATCACACAAGTAAAGGACCACGTCTCTCAATTCCTGGCACCAAAAGAGACCTTGGTGTTAGCCCCCAAGAGTCAGAAGCCACTCTGAAGTCTACAGAGAAAGTCTATGGCAGCAAGGAGAAGTCCAGAGGCCTCTGCCAGGGCAAGAGACAGCATAATACAACAGGGGAAGCATGGGGAAAGGAGGCAGGAGGCCCGGGGTGAGTCTCAAATTTGCCAATAACAACTCAGCGACCTTGGACAACTCACTTCCCCCAAGTAACTGTTTGAATTAAGTCTGTGACTCAGTGTGGTGGAAGGAAGGCCGGACTTGGGGTCAAGAGAGGAGGGGGGTTCCAACCCTGGCTTACAGAATCACCAAACCTCCGAGTTGGAAGAGATCTCAGAGGGAATGCCCAGATCAGACACATGGAGGATCTTGTTCTTGGAATGGGGGAGGCTTTAAGTGGAAATCACAGGTCTAGATTCCAGTGCCTGGATATAGTGGGTGCCTAATAAATGCTTCACTGATTTCTTTCCAGACTTGGCTCACCTGTCCTCTTCCTTCCCAAGGCTTTTCCTGACCCCTGGCCATCACCGTGGAGCTTTCTGGCATCTCATATATTTTTACCCGTTTCCCCCAATAGCATGTATGCTCCCCCAGGGCAGGGAATGTTTCTTTTTTATCCCTGTATCCCCAGTGCCTAGCATACAGCTGGTACTTATTAAATGCATGCTGACAGAATAGTTTTTATATAAGATAGTAGCAGGCAAGCAAATGTGAGTTATTCTATGAGCTGCATGACTTATCCACTGTGGTCCAGAGGGTCATCAGTAGCGTAGGGACAGCAAGAGCTGAGACCAAGGGTAAGTCCTTTCTCCTCCAGAGACCTAGATTTTCTCATTTGTAGAATGGGAGCTGGAGGAGGCCTCAAGGGGCCTCTCTGCCAAGAGCCGTAGGACACCAAGGTACCCAAGGGATGTGGGGGATCTGGGATGGCCCTGCTGGGGATCAGGGTGAGCTTCCTGAGACCGCTTCATGTGCCCCAGGCCGTGACCTATGATGAACAAGGGCTGAGGGGGGAGAAGCCACTTAAATGATGTCAACGGAGAAAGGCGAGTGAGCAGAAAGCAATGCCAGCTGGCACAGAGGGACGGCCAGCCAGCAGGCACCCCTGGCAGAGACGCTGACAGAGACCCCAAGAAGTGGAGGGGCCCTGCCTCCCCTGACCCACCACCCAAGGACGAGTTCTGGGAGGACACAGCTGAGCTGGACAGGACCGGCAGGTGTAGACAGGCTGCCATCTGCCCTGCTGGAGGAGATACCCACAGATCCCCGTCTTGCCATCCGAGCGGTAAGCACATGGGGAAGCAATGAGTGAATCATCTGCATAGCCGAGTTATTGATCTTGTGAGGAAGGCGGGACAGGTAGGATCAGCCTCATTTTACAGATGAGAAGGAGAGAGATAGAGACAGGAAGGGGAGATGGGGGGGAGTGAGACGGAGAGATAAGGACAGAGATGGAGAGAGGGAGAGGGGGACAGAAGGAGGGAGAGACAAGGACAGAGATGGAGAGAGGGAGAGGGGGGACGGAAGGAGGGAGAGAGACAGATGTAATCAGAGAGATAGACACAGACAGAAACAGAAACATGGGGGAGGGGATAAGGAGAGAGACTGAGGTGGGGAAGTGGAAAAAGAGAGACATTGGAAGGGGAAGGGGGAAGAGGGGAAAGAAGAGAAAGGGGAGAAGAGAGAACGGGGAGAAAAAGAAAGACAGAGAGAGACAGAGAGAGGGAGAGAGGGAGAGAGGAAGGAGGGAGGGGCAAAGAGAGAGAGGGAGGGAGAGATCTTTCCGACTCTAAAGAAGGCAGAACAGGCGAGCTCTAAGAGCCTGGCAGGCCAGGAATGGCCAGGGCCGCAGCAGGGTCGCTGGGCCAGACAGGGCAGGTGAGCTCACCTGGAGAGGCATGGCGCTGGGGGTCATCCTGACTTTCTCTGCCAGTCTCTGTGGCGCGGTGGAGGTCCCTTCGCTCTGCAGGCCACACTGCTGGAGGATATTGCTGAAAACCTGAGGAAGAAGACGCTGTCGCGTGTGCTCCCTCTGTCAGCCTGCTCGCGAGGGCCAAGGGTGTGGGAAGAGCGGCGGAGGCCCACAGAACCTCACAGGGCACTTAGGCCATCTCCCCATTTTACAGAGGAAAAATTGAGACCCAGGGAGTGAAGTGACCATTCCACAGTCACCCTGGTCTTCTGACCCCAGAGCCTTCTCCCTGCGTCAAGAGGGCCATCTGCCCCATGGGATACCGGCAGAGGGGCAGTGCGGGAGGGCCGGCAGCCAGAGCCACTCTGGAGCCTTGAGGAAAAGCCAGCGCTGTCAGGCAGAACACCTGGATGTCTGCACAAGCTGCCTGGCACCTCGGGCCCCAGCCAAACACTGGCACGTCCTGGGCAGAAGCCCTTTGTGCTGGCAGAAGCAGGCTCCACGGCCCCCAGGGCCTTGTGTCCAGAGATGCTCCCCTCCTCCCCAGCCTTCCTCCCCTCCCGCGCCCAGTAGGAGGCAGGGCCAATACCTGAAGGATAGTGGGAACAGTTTCATCCAGATCATTGTAGTAACTAGACTGCTGAACAAAGATGTTTTCTAAAAAAAGGAAGAGGGATGGCCGTCAGTGTTTCCTTCGTCCCCTCCTCAACGGAGCCATTGGGTAAGTGCCACTCAGTTTCCACTGGCTCGGCTGGTCCAGCATTTGGGTCTGTGATTCCCAGCAGCTGGCACCTAGTAGGTGCTTCATAAACGCTCGTTGGATGGAATGTTTGGGCCTCCGAGGCCGGTGGTCCAGGTCCCTGGATGAGGGGGCCCAGAGGCTGTGCTTAGTGGATTAACTTTTCCTGGGCCCCCGCAGGGCAAGGTACAGAAGCAACCATCAAGGCAGCCTGGCCCTGACACTCCCAGAAAGGAATCCCACGTGGCACCATGCCCTGCTCTACAGACCTGGCGGTGGATGGCGCTGTTGGTCAGCCGGGAAAACAAGCAGATATGATCCGTCTGCTCAAGAAACCCGGAGGCCAGCACCATGCCCCCCTGCCAAGCCCTCATCCCCAAGAGGGAGGCAGCATTCTTTCAGCCCTGCCCCAGCTTAAGAACATGCCCCTGAGGCCAAGCCTGGGGGCCCTGCTGGATGCACAGAAGGACAGAGCCCACAAAGACCAAATGCCCTTGGGAATGTTTCACAGTCCCTCTCTCCAAAGGCTGGGAACAGGCAGATGGGCCAGTGGGCCCAAGAGTGAGCAAGGCAAGGAAGATGGCAGCAGTCTGGCTCGAACGCGAGTCCTTGGGGCATTTGGAGAGGATGGGGTCACTTCACTCAGTGCCAGGCCCAGGCTCAGGAAGGGAAGCTCCATTCTGACTTCCTCTGCCCTTGGGCAGCTCAGGCCCAGGCATTCAGTCTGGGTAGCTGTGACACCCCCCACAATCTGCTGCAGGGATGCTTGGGGATGAATGAAGGAACAGGCCAGACTGCGCTGGGTGAGTAAGTCACAGCTGGAGGGCCCGGTGACTATGGAGCCAGGCCTGCTGGGACTCCCCATCTGCCATCCCTGCCCCCACAGGGGCTGAGGGCAGAGAGGATGGAGGGCTGGCTCCGGTCTCCTCAGACACACCACCTGCGGTGCCTGGCACACGAGAAGCACTTACTGAAGGCTTGCGATTGACTCATCTGACGGGCAGGGGGTGGGGCAGGGGTGGGGCTCGGGAGCCTGGATCTGCCACTCACTACTCCCTCATCTTGGGGAAATCACCTGACTTCTGAGTGTCAGTTTCTTCACCTGTTCAATGGGGAGTACCAGCACAGGGCAGGGCAGGTAACAGCAGATGGAAAAGCACAGTATAACCACACTGACCTGGTGCGCTAACGAGTGGCTAACGAGCAGGCCTCAGACTCGCAAGACCCAGGCTCCCGTCCTGCCTCTGACACAGACTGGCTGGGTGACCGTGGGCCAGACGGAGCTGAGGCCCCAGGAGGAAATCACAGGCCCCAAGAAGAGCCTCAGGGTGAAGAGAGGAAGCAGGACACAGAGCGTGGGGCCTGGCCTCGGCCCAGACTCCCCGTGCTGGCGGCCTCAAGGGACCCATATCCCAGTGGGATCACAGGTCCCGGCACAGCCCATTCCATTATTAATCTGACTGCCTTCAACCAGGCCTTTCTTGTCTGTTTCTAATGAAAAACAGGCAACAGCCTGACTAATGATAACTAGCAGCTGACCTCTGCATCTATATCTCCCTGCTGGCTTTGCCAAGCGCTTATTTGATCCTTACACAATGCTGAGAGGTAGACGCTATTGTTATCCCCACTTAGACCTGAGGAAACTGAGGCCCATAGAGCTGCAGGGACGTGCTACACTCATAACCAGCTTGTGTGGCTGTTTTTAGGGTGGATGAGACTCCCAGATGTTCATAGCCTGAGCAGTCCCTGGCACCTTCCCCCTAAGCAGTCAAATAAAGGAACCTTGAATTCAGAGCCAAGCCTTAGGGTCTCCTGAGCTACCGTGTAAATTCTCCTCCAGAAGACTGCAAAGATCCCACTGCCCTCTGGGCTCTCTCACAAGGGAGGGCAGAGCTCTGGGCAAGCTCCACCGGCCACAGCCACTACCCCTCACCCTGGGATGAAGACTGAGCGCGGCTGCCATTCACAAAGTGCCTGACGACGATCCAGCGACCAAAGGGCACCGATTCCCTCATGTGCTTGTGCTGGTGCCCATTTCCCACACCCACAGCTGCCCCTGGCCTCTAGGCCTTCCCCCTTTCCTCTGCTCTCCTCCCGTATGGATCTCATTACTAATGATCTTCCTTTCCTAGGCATTATACCTACCACGCTTTGACGGGAGGAGAAACTGCAGGACCTTCCACCCCCCCAGAGAAGGATCAGTCTCATAGTCCTCTTTAGAGCCCCCCGGACCCCAGTGATGATGTCTACAACTGGAAGGAGGCCCAGATGGCACCCAGGCTGGTCCCCAAGTTGTTCCCTCACTGGAAGTTCCCAGTGCCAATGAAATCACAGCTCCAGGAAGGACATTGAAGTCAGCGGCCCACGGTCACACAGCCAGGATATGCAAGACGGAGACCGTGCGAGCAGCTCTTCCTGACTGTCCGATACCCCACGCTGTGCCTACCGCACTACATGCCAGTCAGGGCTTCTCTGGGTCTAGACCCATGATCTAACTGGCCCAGGGCATTCCCACACGAGGAAATGCGGGTCAGCTGCTGCCCCACAACGTACACTCTAGCCTCTAGAACGTGGCCTGGACCTCGCTGATGGTCATAAGACCAGTATAGGTCAGCGGCTTGCTGACCTGCACTCAGGCCTCGTGGGCTTCGAGGTCAGCTCTCTACGTGCTCCTGCCTCTGACTCAGTGGTCTGCAGACCCCAAGTCGCAGGGCCATCCCCCGGCCACTGGTGGCTCACCCCCTGCCCCCACCCCACGTTTCTCATGCTTTACAAACCGATCATCTTCTGGAGCAGGGGCCCGTTGCCCTTCCCGAAGAGCACACACAGGTCCAGCATCTTTGGGATGTCAAAGATGAAGTTATTATAGAGGATCTCCCCAAAAGCACGCGGGGAAATGAAGTGATCCTGTGGGGGAGGGAGGGACAAAGGCTCCGTCAGCAGAAGAAAGCCCAGAATCGATGCTAAGGCTCCCTTGGGGAGGAGAACCGAGAGCTGACCTAGAACAGAGGCCTGGGACAGACAGAAGGGACAGCGGGGACGCCCAAGCCCCCGCTCCCAGGGCACCCCAGGGCTGCTCAGGAGGAGGGCCGACACACTCACTTTGGATTCTTTGTGTGTGGACATACGGAGGAAGGTGAGGAAGACGCTGCGATGGAGGCGCTGCTGCATCTCGCTGACGGCTGAGGGGGGCGTGGCCAGCTCATCAAACTTGCGGGGGGCATAGCGCAGGTAGGAGTCCAGGCACTTCTGCAGGGTCTCATCAAAGATCACCTGCTCAGGGGCCAAGATGAGGGAGGTGGGTCGAGCCCACGCTGCCACGCCTGAGGCTCGGGGCTGGAGCGGGCAGGGTGCCAAGCAACCCTTGCTCCCTGTCCAAGGATGCCGCGAGCCCCAGGAGGTGCCCAGGCCAGGCCTGGGCTCCGAAAGAACAGCTCCAAGGAGAAATAGAGCAGAAAGGGCACTGGGCAGGGGGGCAGAGGACAGAGCCGGGCACGTCTTAGCTGAGTCACCCTGGGCAGACCCAGACAGCCCTCCAAGACTGGAAGGGACAGAAGAGGTGCACTGGTGGAGGGAATTCCTGCTCCCTGCGAAATCACAGGGTTGACTCCAAATGGGGAAAACACCCACCTTCTGCTATGAGGATTAACTGAGATAACGTATGCAAAGAACTTGACATGTGTCTGTTGCTGTTATTAAGACCACACATCTAGGGTGGGAAAGACCCTCAAGGGTTATCTGCTTAATCCGACCCCCTCGTTTGAAAAATGGCCCCGAAAAGTCAGGTGACTTATCCAAGGTCACTCGGGGAGTACGTAGCAGAGGCCAGATCCGAACCTGGGTTCTCAGATTCAAGCCCAGCCCTCCTCAGGACGCACAATGCTGCCTCCTAGGATGATTTACTTAGAAAACCCTAGAGAATCAACCATGAGATTAACTGAGGCGATTAGAATCTTCAGTAAAAGCACCAAGATACAAAATAAAATGAAAAGCATTAGCATTACTAACTAGTAATAATCCCCACTGTAATTTGCTGCTTAAGCACAACGTGTGGAATAAAAATGCCACCTATAAAAACTCTCACAATTCCTACATTCTCTGAGAAATTCAGGCCCTGTACCAGAAGTGGGGGGAAAGGGAAAGAAGCACCTACTCTGTGCCAGGCACCGTGCTAAGCGCTTTACAAACATTATCTCATTTGACCCTCACAACTATCCCAGAGCTAGCTGCTTTCATGACCCCCATTTTACAGACGAGGAAGCCAAGGCAAACAGAAGTGAAGAGAATTGCCCAGGGTCACGGAGCCAGTACGTCTCTGAAGCTGGATTTGAATTCGGGTCTCCGTGACTCCAGGGCCCTCCCTCTCCCCACTGTGGCGCCCAGTGCCTCGGCACAGGTGACGGACTGTTACCTGGCACCAGAACTTCTTGTGGGGCAGGCCCAGCAGCCAGTCGAGGTCGTCGGCGATAAATGCAGCCCGTTCCAGGTACTCCTCTACCCGTGCAGTGGCGCTGTCTGCAGGCGGGGGTTTGTACAGCACAAAGCAGCGGTCGGCCTTCTGGTCTGGGTGCTAGGGGGTCGAGGAACCACAAGGGACCGTGGGGAAGGTCAGCCATCAAAGAGGTCACAGGCCCCTTCCCAGTGATCAGGATCCCTTCTCCTGGTTTGGCCACTCAGCCTGGTGCTCAGCTCAGCCCAGCCAGGAAGGACCGGGCTGAGGGGACTGGACTGTGACCTGTGACCTGTACCATCCTCTACTCTGGCTTCAGGCCTTGGGCCTGCCCCTACCCTGCTTCCACTTCTCTCTGCTCCCAAGGACATAGGAGGTTGCCTTCTTTAGGGGAGAGCATCAAGCCACAGAGGCAGAGAGGGTGGGGTAAGGCTGGGGAGAGGTCGCCAAGGCAAGGCCGGCCTCCTTCAGCTCTACCAGCCTCCACCCACGCCTGCCCCATGTCCTCTGCCCTAACTCTTCAGCTCTTAAGATGACAGAAGCCCTAGGCCAGAGATTTCACCAATCCACTGCCCATATACTGCTCCCAGAGAGGAGGTATCCAACTTGAGTTCTCATTAAAGGCATTGATACACAAAGAATCAGCCTCAGGGACCAGGGAGTCCACACCCAAAAGGAATCTCCCAAGATACCACCCCCACCGGTGAGCCTCTGGTCTCTGCCAGAAGCCCCCCTCCCCACCTCCGAGGCAGCTAGGACCCCTGGGGGATGACCCCACTTTGGGGGAGCCTACCCGGGCTACTTTGTAGCCTCCTCCCTGCCCATTGCTCTGAGCTCTGCCCTTTGAGGCCAAGAAGCTCCAGCCCAATCCTTCCCCACGCCAGCCCCCATGTTTTCTTCTTTATCCAATCTAAGTGCTGCCAGTTTCTAAAACCAGTCCCTCCCTCTGGCCCATACCCCCTTGCCAGATGGAAGGTGGCACGGTGTTGTGGGCTGAGAGTCAGAAGTTCTGAGTTTGGATCCAACTTACTTCTTCCCTCTTGGCCTCAGTTTCCTTCTCTGTAAAATCTCTTCTGGTTCTGGAGCTAGGATTCCCTGATGGGCCGTGAGACCCCTCCCTCCTCCTTCACTTTGGCCCGTCCTGCTCACGCACACCTTCCTTCACTGGAGACGCCTTCCTCCACTCTCTGATTGCTCTGGGGACTGCCGCAACCCACCTTCTAGTGTTTCTATCCCCAGACTTAGAAGCAAAAGGGCAACTTCAGAAAGGCTCTGCCTCAGGCACCAGTGGCCTCCATCAACACTGGCCCACCAGCCCCACTCAGAACAAGGCTCTGCTTTCCCAGGGACCAGAAGGGACAAGCTGCCCTGGGAGCAAAGGCCAAAGGTGGGTGTCTGCACGGGGGAAGGGAGTCACCCAGAAGCAGGAGGGATGCCACCAAAGGGCTCTAGGGCCTGGGCTCCGTGCACTCCTACCAGAGAAGAATCCAGTCTGAGGGAGCTGGGGAGGCCAGCAGGCCTGGAAAACGAGGGCGATGCTGGCCATGAGGAAACCTTCCTGCCCACTCCCTGGAGAGCTGCCCAGGCTGCTCCTGTCCCACATCTGAGTTCTGCTGCTAATGCTGGCACTGGGCCCTTGAGCAGACGTCCACAGGACCCTGGGTCTAAAGTTATGACGGCCCCCACGAGTCATCTGGCCAACCCCCTCATTTCACAAATAAGGAAACTGAGGCCCACATGGGAGAAGTCACCTTCCCAAGGTCACACAGAGGCAGGCACACTTCCTGTTCTTCCTAACTAGCCTCCTTCCACATTCTCCTAATAGACTGTTAATGCCTTGAGGGCAGGGACCATATGCTCCCTATCTCCTACCCTGAACCTCCCCACCACATCTGGGGCTCTGGGCACACTCAGTAAAGACTCACTGCCCAAGCACTCTCCCTCCTGGCCTCCCCACCTCCCACGGGGTGGCCACAGGGACCGTTCAGATGCTAGAAAGGAGCGAGAGATGAATCAGAGAAAGGGAGAAAACACCTCAGAGCCAGGATGCGAGGGTGCACAGCCCCAGCATCTGGCTCAACAACACAGGGCATCACGGTTACAGGGTGCTCTGAGAGCCCCCCAGGAAGGAGGGGCCATATCATGGAGAAACAGCGAACAAGCCGAGGAAGCCTCAGATGAACTGAGGTTCTATGCATGTGACAGACCATCTCCCACCTCCAAGCTTTTGCACAAGCTGTGCCCCATGCCTGGCATGCTCTCCCTCCTCACCTCCACCTCTTAGAATCCCTAGCTCCCTTCTAGAGACCTCCTAGAGAAGGCCTTTCATTTCTTTCAGTTACTTTGTATCTATGTCCTATCTCTTTCTCTGTACACATGCTATCTTTCCCAGTAGAAGGTAAGCTCTCTGAGGGCAGGGGTGACTTCTCTTTTGTCTTTGAGTCCCTAACTCTCAGCACAATGTCCGGTGCACAGCCAGTATGTAACTAAATGCTGGCTGAACTGTGCTCACCTGATGCAGACTGAAATGAGCAAAACCAGTGAATGAGACGTGTGATTAGAACACACAAAGGTCACCAGAAGGAAGCCAAAGGCTAGGGAGTAATACCCGACGTCCAAGGGCTGAGGAGGAGGCAGGGAGAGGTGGGGGATCACTAGGGCAGAAAGGTGCATGCACCACGGTGGAGCACTTTCTCTGTTACGGGGCAGGGCCCATAACCAGAAATGTCCACAATGTAAAAGCGTCATAGAGGGAGGGCAGAGAACGGGGGTCAAGCCCTGGTTTCTGGCCCTTTTCCGCACTGCTATCAGCAGGGAAGCTCGCGCTCTTGGGCATCGGGTGAGCGGCCCTCAGGAAGCCGGGCCCACGCCTGCCCCCTTCAGGTCTAACAGGTTCACAGCCCTGCTATTCTTCAGGTGACGCTGGGACACTCCTATTCCAGCAAGGTCAAGGGTGGTTCTGGCCTCACAGTGCGTGTTTCCGTACACACGAGATGGTCCTAAGCTGAAAACCGCTCACCAACCCGCGCATGAGCCAAGGCATTCCCAGGTCCAATTCCCTCTGGCGGCTCTGGTCTTGTGATTCTGGACATAAGCCTTTGGAATAGATCTATGACTGAACATGACTGAAATGTAGGCCCCTGCTAAGAAAAACTCCTCAGTTTTCTAGCCAAACTGGCCCACTGCTGGTGCCTGCACATAACAGTCTGTCTCCAGCCCCCAGGCTTTTGCACTGGCTGCTGTCCCCCATCGTTGGGATGCTCCCACAAAATCACACAGAATCACAGGATGGGAGAGCTGAAAGGGGCCTCAGTAGCATCTTGTCCAACCCACACCCCAAAGGCACCCCCACTCGGGCATCTCTGACAAGTGGTCATGCCCCTCTGAGGAGGGGGAGCCTGCCAGCCCTCTGAACAAGTCTCTGGGACTTACAGCCATGGCTCCTGATTCTGCCTTCTCCACACAATGTCCCTTCACATCTCCTCCAGGCTAAATCAGCCCCTTCCTCCTCAGACAACACCAGGCCTCTAATCAACCAGCCAGTCCTTATGCCACCATACTGACTAAGTGCCAGGCCTTTTCCGGTGCCTCAGGCTGTTACTGTTCTCTTCCTACCCTCTGCCCCCACAGGATACTGCATCTCCATAGATGAGTCCCCCATGATCTTGTCTCTTGGGCTCCAGACTCCACTATTCTACGTGGACAACTTGGATATCTCAAGATGAATGTCCTGGAGACATCTCAAATTCAGCATGTCTAAAACTGAGCTAGCTCTCGATCCCTGCAAACACGTCCTCTGCCTCACCCTCCCTTGCTTCCAGTGAGACACCATCATCCTTCCAGAAACCCATGTCATCGGCCTCACTCTCCCTCCTCCTCCTGACTGATCAATCACTTTGGCTTATCATTTCAATCCCCAACACCTCTCACATCAGGCTCCTTCTTTCCACGCAGAGCCCACCACCCACGGGCCAGCCCTCATCACCTCTCCCCTGGACAAGAGCCTCCTCACTGGTCTCCCTGACTCTAAAGTGAACATAGGTTGGAGCAGGTCCTCTGAGAAGCTCAAATAGCTCCATACTGTCTCTAGGATTAAGTACCAACCCCAGTTTGGCCTTATTACACACACTCCTTCCTCCAGCCAAACTGGTCTTGGACCCACATTCTATCTCCCATCTGCATACCTTTGTATAGGCTGTGCCTCATGCCTGGAATGCCTCCCCCCTCCATCTCTTCAACTCTCCATCTTCCTTCAATCGCCACCTGCTACATGAGGTCCACCCTGTTCTCCATCCCACCCATGGCATCCTCTTCCCCAATTACATAGTATTGACTTTGCATATATTCACGTATGTGCATATGGTTTCTCCCATTAGAGTGCAAGTTCCCCGAAGGCAGAAGTTTTCACTTTTGTCTGTATTCCCAGCACTTAATCAATGATTTTTGATTGTTCACATATTCAGAATCTAATTCCCAGCAAAACCATAAAGTCCTTAAAGAAACGACCATCTCTTTTTTTGTCTTTTATATTCCCATTGGCTAACAAACATGGCACTTGGGAGATGCACACTAGGTTGAGCACTTAGTTGGGTCTGGAGAGCTCTCCGGCTAAAGGTTGACCAGTGGGGCCCTCCCGCCCCCATGTGGATAAACGTTGGTCATGGAGTTTTTACTTGTAAACCTGCACAATGCTAAAGGGCTCCACATCACCCGGCTCACCAGAGCTGGCACTGTCCTCAGTTTGCCTGTCTTAGGGTCCTTCTCTGTGATCTGTAGTTCATCCAAGGGCAATGCAGGCATTTTGCTGGGGTCCCCTCCTCCTGAAGGCAAACAAGAAAGAACAAGAGAGGTCAGCAGGGCCTAAGACCAGCTTCTGGTTTACAAAGCACCCTCCTCCTCCTCCTCTTCCTCCTCTTCCCAAGACCCTGTGTGTAGGAGGTCTGAGAGATAAGGAAAGCAAGCCCCTTGGAGGGGAGGCAACTTCTCCAATGTCCTACAGGCAGAGGTAGATCTAAACAGGACGAGGCAAGCAGAGAGGGCAGCTAATGACTCTGTGAACTGTTTCAATGATGTCATCCTTCAACCCCACCAGAGGAAATCCAGTTCTGGGTCTGACTGATGCCAATAAGGAGGCATTGGCTGTTGGGCTGTAAATGAAGGAAACCTTGCAGGGAGGCAATCTTTCCATTGTAAAACTTGAGAGAAAGCTTGAGGTGAATCTCAAATGTACCCTAGACTTCAGGTCAACAACGTTCAGAGGAAGGCTGGGTTTGGCCTTGAACTCTACACGGCCCCTCTAAAGATGAAAGTCTGAAGACACAGAGAAAACCTTGAAGGGGAGTTGATAAAGGTAATGCAGATAGCCAGGCAGTCACTTCCCATTTGGACTTTGAGATGACCCGCAGAGATGTGAGCAAAGGCATGGCACGGGAGCCAAGTGACCAAAGCATGGCATCACCCTGTACAAGGGCAACAAAGAGGTTGTTGGGGTTTGTCGAGGCTACACTGGAGAAAAGGATGAGAGGAGGGATAAAGCAAGTCCCCCAGGCTATTCTTGCCGAAAATAGATGAGAGCAAATTGCAACAGATTCCTAAGTAGCAGAATGGCCAGACCCAAAGGGCAGTCATTCCTGGCTCAGTATCAACTTGGGTGATGTTCTATAGTGCCCCAGGGATCTGTGCTGGGCCTGCTACTGTTCACTCTTGTCATTAATGACTTGGATAAAGGCAGAAAGGGCACACATACTTTTTAACTTTGTAGAAGGGGAGAAGTGGATGACAGTCATGGTCCAAAAAGAGTCAAGGGGCTAGAACACTGGGCTGAATTTTAAGATTAATAAACATGGATAAATGAACTATCTTACACTTGGGTTCAAAAAAATCTATTTTAGAGGTTTAAAGATACACTGGCTAAGCTAGCTACCCATTTGTCTCATGAAGATCTGGAGGTCTTAGAGGAGTTAAAGCTCAATACAAGTAAATAACATGATAGGGCAGGAAAGAAAGCTGTCATAACATCTTGGGCCACATTGAGGGGCATATGATGGCCCATGAAGGTGATGTGCACTGGTCAAACCTTATCTAGAGTGTAGGGTTCATTTCTGAAGATCATTGGTGAGTGGGAGGACATCCAGAAGACCAGGATAATGAAAGGTCTTCGGACTATGCCTTATGAGAATTGAACGGGAGAACTGGGGATATTTAGCCTAGAGAAAACTGAAGGGGTTAGGATAGTTGTATCTGAAAGGCTGTCACAGGGAAGAGGAATTCACCTTGTACTGTTTGGCCCCAGAGGGTCTTACTAGACCCAGGTTCAGGGAAGGGCCATTTTAGCCCAAGAGAAACTTTCTAAAGACAGCAGGGACACAATGGGGATAGCCTGGGGAGATTAGCCACTTGCTGGGAATACAATAGAAGGGATTCCTGCCTCGAAGAGAAATGAGGCAGGACCAAAGGGAACAGGAAGGCCTCTAAGGACCCAGCTTCAATCCCAGCTCTGTGACTTAACCCCGCCCCGCCTGCCCATGGCTAAGCTACTCTCTAACAGCCTCTACTTTAATGAAATGAGCGTGGCTGGACTCTGGGTCTACATCTGATCCTAGGTGTCTGAGGTCCCTTGTGATTCTGGGCCTTTGATCCTCCATGGAGTACTGACAGAAAGATACAGACCCAAAGCACGCCCAGGATGAATGGGCGTGGATGGGCTGTGGACAGCCCCGAGACCAGTTTACAGGCCCATTAAAGCCCTGCCACACTCGGAGATGGGCCTGTGTAAACAGGATTTCTCCTATCTACAAAATTAATGTGTTAGACTAGGCAGGTTCTTGAGTCCCTGCCGCCTGCCCTCATCATTAATGTCAGGCCTCATTCAGGTTTCTGAGCATTCCAGAGGGGGTGAGGAGTGGGTTGTATTTTTGGAAATTATTACAGTGTTTAAAAAAAAAAAAAGACTTCAATACAGCAATTTATGGAGGGGGGAGGGAAGGTTCCAGCTCTCCAAGGATTTATAAGCTATCATAAAGCCAGAGGGTTAGAAGGGCCCTCAGCAGTCTAGGCCAATCTCCACCAGAAGAAGAATCCCAGTTACATCACTCCCAAGAAGCGATCCTCCAGATTTTGTCTGAAGACCTCCAAGGAGGGAGAGCTTATGACCTTCCCCAGGAGGCAGCTCTCATGGGCAGCAAGTGTTTGCTGACACCCAGCTCCAACTGGACTCTTTGCCATTTCCACCCACTGCTCCTACTTCTGGCCTCCGGGGCCAAAGGTAGCAAATCTACTCAGAGGGTCCCGGGATTGGCGCTGGCAGGAACCTCAGAGACCAGAGTTCAGACCAGGCATTCTTCGTGCAGGCTCTGCAAATCTGTCTTAATGAACATTCTGACGTCTCTATCTCAATATCATCCATTTCCTTTGTAATCTTACGTACTTTATTTTATGTGCATAAGAATATTCTTCTGCACAGCCTTCACCAGGCTCCCAAAGGGGTCCATGACACAAAGAGGGGGAAGAATCTTTGTTCCAACTGCCGGTACTTTTTTCGCCCTCTTCCCCATCAAGTGGGTGGAGAGCTGAAGGACCTCTGAGGCATCTCATCTAGTGCACTTATTTTACAGAGGAGGAAAGCAAGGCCCAGAGAGGATCAGTAGCACTTGCAGGCCAATACAAGCAGTAATTGGCAAAGCTAAGATTGGAAGCCTGATCGTCCGACTCCAAAGCTGGTGGTTTTCCCATTTACACGACAGGTACGTGTAGACAGCCCTGAGGTCCCCTGGACCTTCTCCTTCTCCAGGCTAAATGCTCCTGTTCCTTCTACTAATTCTCAAAAGAAATGAATTGAAGAGTCCTGGCTGCCCTTCTCTGGACCTTTCGGCATGTCAATACCTTCCCACACCAGTGTGCCCAGAACCAAACCCAAATGTTCTTACGTGGTCTAAGCAGGGTCACTGGGGCAGAACAGAAGAGGCCCACCCAAAGTAACTCTGAAAGCCGTAGCCAATGGGGAGAAGGGCCTCAGTGAGCCTTCAAATGCACCAGGAATGAGAATTACTGGTGTTCATAAGCCAACGGGGAAAAGGGCCTCAGTGAGCTTTCAAGCGCCCCAGGAACGTGAGTTACTGGTGTTCATAAGCCAACGGGGAAGAGGCCCTCTATGAGCCTTCAAGCGCTCCAGGAATGTGAGTTACTGGTACTCATAAGCCAACAGAGCAGGGAAAGGTTGACAGAACTCTGAGATGGATGGGGCTCACCTTGCTATCTTGGCCTTCAGTTCTCCTCTTTATAAAATGAGGACATTGCTGCCCACACAAAGCAACCCTTTGTACTCTGAAAAGATTTTATGAAGACAGTAATCATGAACATTGGGACACTGCGAGTCTGGCTAGTTGTCTCGAGGTCTCAAAGTCAGTTACCTGACAGGGGCTGGAAGCTGGGAGGCCATTCTAGCAGGGCTCTAAAGAAACAAGAGCCAAGCAGCAGGGTCCCCATTGCTTTTGGCATACACAAGAAATAGAGTATTTGTAACAGTCCTACAAAAGACAACAGATATGAGCACACAGCAGCATGATATAGGAGGAGAGCACTAGATTTGGAATAAAAAAAACCTGAGTTCTAATCTTGCCTTAGGCATTTACTAGCTCTGTGACTCTACGAAACCTTTTTGTACCTGAGTTTCCAAATGTATAAAGTGAGAAGGCTGGACCCCATGACCTCTGACTCTCTCTCTATGACCCTATGACCCAATGGGGCAGCACTGGTGGTAACTGCAGGGTAAATAACGGAGGTGGCGTCATCCCTGTTCTCAAGGGACTTACATCCAAGGAGCCTGAAGCCGCTCACCCAATCCAGTCTGCTCCCATCATCAATAACACTGCTAGCATAGTCCACTCCTTTCTCTGGGCCCCAGGCAGCAGAAAGTATGGTGAGAAAGAGGCCTCAATTTGCAGTCGAGGCCCAAGTTCAAAGTCTGGCTCTGTTCCTTGAATGACCTGAACAAGTCAATTCACCTCTTTACACCTTTCTTCTCATTTGTATGATAGGGACAATGCCCCCAAGGGTCACACCAATGAAATGCAATGACACTGTGTGCCCGTCAGTGGTTATGACAGCGGGACCCTCCTTTGATAATCTTCCTCCATAGGGGGTCTCTCACTATTTCTCCTTCTCCCTTTTGGGCCTGTTCCCTCATCTGTAAAATCAGAGCCTTGGACTAGATCCCTTCTTGTTTCCACAGCCCTTTCAACCTCCTCCCATGATCCACCCTCCCAAGCCAACAGCACAATGCCTGGCACATAGTAAATGCCAAATAAACACTTGTCAAATGGTTGATTGACACAGAAGGCAAGAGGCAGCAGGATGCAGCAGAGAGAGGGCTGGCCTGGGACACAGGAAGATTCCTACCTCTGACTCATATGAGCTTTGTGGGCAAGTCATCTGATCTTAGTGCCCCAGGCACTAAGAGAAATGGGAAAAGGCAGAACAGCTGACCATCTGCACCAGTGGAGGGAAATTCCACACTGGGAATTCTCCATGCCATTGAAATCAAAGGCAGATCTGGACTAAACAAAACAAAAACCAAAAGCTGACACAAGTCATTGAGCTAATTCGATGGATACAAAAACAAAGCCTACAAATCACTTACAATCTGCTGAAAAGGCTCCCGACATGTACAGAGAGAAGTCTAGAGAAGGTCATTTGAAGAGAGTGGGGCAGAGGAGATTTCATGAAGGTGAAAGCACAACGGAGCCTTGAAAATCAAGATTTGGAGAACAAGTGCCCCCTTCTCTCCTAGGACATGGCCCCTGCCCTGGTGCAGGCCCTCATCACCTCACACCTGGACTTGGGGGGAGGGGGGGTGTCTGCTGCCTCTACCCAGTCCAGGCCATCTTCCTCTCAGCCACCAAAGTGATTCTCCTAAAGTGCAGGTCTGACCATGGCACGCTCCTGCTCCAGAAACTCCTGTGGCTCCCAATTACATCCAGGAGCAAAGAGAAGGATCCTGTCCGGCATTTAGAATTCTTCACAGTCTGGTCCCTTCATTCCCTTCTATTCTTCTTACACCTTACACCCTCCTACCTCACCCAGTCTTTTCAGTCCAGGGACACTGGCCTAACTGATCCTCAAACAAGACACTTGTTCCTCTACTCCAGGCAACTTCTCTGGCTGTCCTTCCTGCGGGGAAGGTGCTTCCTCCTCGGAAGGTGCTTCCTCCTCATCTCCACCTCCTGGCTTGCTTTGAGCTCCAGCTAAAATCCTACCACCTGCAAGAAGCCTTTCCTGACCCCCCCCCCTTTAATTAATTAATGAGTGACTCCCTCGGTGAATTAGCTTGAGCTGATCCTGTATACATCTTGTTTGTTCACAGGTATCTCAATGGTGTGTCCTCCATGAGACTGTGAGTTCCTTGAGAACAGGGTCTTTTGGCTTTCTTTCTATCCTTGACTCTTGGTACAGAGCGCAGCACGTAAGAGGTACTTAATGTTTACTGGATGACTGAGAGTCTGAGATGAGGAAGAAGTGCATTGCAGGCATGGGGGGCAGCACTGCAGGAGATGGCAAGATGGCTTCTGTAAACAGCTGATGGTCCAAGAGAAATGCTGTTTCATAAAAACTACCTTCATTTTTATAGCACCTTAAGCTAGATAAAAGCACTTTCCTCACTGCAACCCTGTGAATTAGGTCAAGTTCAAAGAACACTATCATCATTTTACAAGGAGGCGGGTCATACTGAAAGGCTCACATCTAGTATGTGGTACAATAGGGGTCTGAACCCCTGAAGTCCTGACTCCAACTTCCATTGTATTAGGATGTAATAACAAATGTTGACTGAATAGGGCATGGGAGCCTGGGAAGGATGATCTCTTATGGCCCTTCCAGATCTGAGAGTTACTGGGCTGGGGTCACCCTTGGAGAAACTGAAGGGGTTCTAGGGACTCCTCCTCTCTCTGTTTTTTGACCCTCACTCCCAGACTGAAGTCCTTCAGTCTGCCCCCACCCATCTCCCTTCCACTCACTCCAGTTCCTTTCTCCAGCCCATCCTATCTGCCTCCCCTCCCCCCCCCCCCCCCCCCTCCCCCCCCCCCTCCTCCCCCCCACCCCATTCTATCTCCCCCTGGTCTCCCCCTCCCCCTCCACGCCATTCTAACCCCTTCACCTCTCTCCTGGCTCCTCTGAATTCCACTGTCCTCTCTCCCACTGTTCTATCCCCCTTTTCTATAGCTCTCCCATTCCATTCGGTTTCCCCTTTCCCTATTAATTCTGTCCCCCTTTCCTCAGTACCGACTTTAGTCTACTTCCCCCTCACCCCTCACCCCGTTCTATCCCCCCTCCCTCTCCCCCACTCCGTTCTATCCCCCTCC